CAATGTGGGAGGCTCGATGATGTCTGGAAGCACGGTCAGTAAGTTATTTGGAAGGAAACAGGTGTTGTCTCTAAGTTGTATCTTCAGGGTAAAATAAAAAGGCAACTTGTTTTTCCTTGATGGGTAAATATTTGCTCACGTGGGTTTTTTACAGCCTAGGTATGTAAGAGAGCTCAGAGGGGGCATATCCTGCACACACACGTGTGCACATGTGTGTACTGACACAGGCTATTATAGTTAAAGGATTAAGCATCTTGAAGGAATAAGCCAATTATAAGAAGTTCCTGCACAGCAAAAATTAGACAACACAGTAATTAATAACCTTATTAAATAGCAATATTTGGGCACTGAACCAAAGCGTATGAATCAGGGTGAAGCATTCTTGGCTGAACACACTGCGTGAAGTGTAGACACTTGTTCAGAACACACTCTGTGTAGAAACCAATAAGCTTTGGGGCAGTAGATCCACTTAGCAAGTAACTTCTCCTCTTGTGCTTTTATGTTTCTGTGACTCTCTCTTATTTTTGGGGCCAGGAAGGCAGCAAAAGAAAAGGACCAATTTTCCTGGTTTATTTTTTTTTTCTAACATCCTCTTCTGTTCACAGCCAAACAAGCACTCTCCTAAGGCTTCTTTTAAGTAAAAAATGTCTTCAAGCAGAAAACTAATTTTCTTTCCTCCTGCTTCTCTTTCTCAGTGCTTTTGTGAGAGGTGCATTGCAATGAGGCTTATGCTCATTAGTGGTTTGTGTAACTGCCTTGCCCATCCCTAGATTAGCCATGAGGAGGTGTCACTGCAGCCCCTGAGGGGTCTGTCCCATGTTCCCAGAGCCACCAAGGGACAGAGTGACTTTGGGCTGAGCTGCTGTGGCACGTCCCTGGTGCTGGCCACAGGCTGGCAGTGCATGGCTTGCACTGGTGGCTTCTCTGTGAGTGTCTCCAGTTTCTATACAGAAGACCAGGACTCTCAGGCTGCCATCTGATGTGTGCACAAGTGTGGGAGGATCGGGCCAAGCACAGCCTGTCTCCGTCTTTCCAGGCAATTGTCATTTTCTTCTGAAGCTACACAGCTGGAGCAGTAGTATAGCCTCAGACACCAACATGGACATGCATGGAAGTCTCTGCAACTGCTTGGGTGACCTGAAGCATGGAACATGCCCTAATCCTAAAAAAGGGCTGCTGTGAGCAGTGGCAAGGCACAGATGCCCACTGAGCAGCAGTGGGACATTTGGGATACTTTGCTTCTTGGTCCCAACTGCAACAGCAGTGATTTGCCTCCTGGTGTTCTGCTTGACACAGTAAATAATTTTGAATATCTGCTTCTTTTTAAAAATCTACTTTATATCATCCATAAGAAAAATCAAATATGCAAATTATGTAATCAATTAACATTTTTGTAGTTTTCTTTGGAGAGGCAGTGATAAATTGTGTTGTGTTTTCAAAAATCAGTTACCTCCCTTGCAAACCTTGCATTTGAGGCTGTAATAGATACAGGTGAAGGAAACAACAATTTTTTTCAATACTAAAGATTTTTTATTGTTATCCTGGATGTGTATATGACAGCTGTGGAGTTGTTGGGTTGGGAGAGTCCTACAGAGAATCCTCAGCAACGGGAGAGCCTACTGAGACAATGGGGATGAGTGAGATGTGCAGGGCACGTCACTGCCAAAGAGAGGCCAGGGGATAGTCCAGGCTCCTTCCATGCAGTTCCTGCAGGCACAGAGCTATTAAGTGCCATCACAAATTCTTGAGCTCCAAGGTTTTCTCCCGGCCCATGTTTTCTCACTACAGTGGACACCAAAGCGGTGCTTGGTTTTAGGAGGTTTGTGCACATGGCTCGTAAAGGAGCCTGGTGCCTTTCCGTGAGCACCACCACAGCCGTGCCAGTGGCTTCCCAGCCTGTGCATCAGCTGTGTTCTTTATGCTTTATTTGTAAATGACATTTCACAAGAGCAGCAGGGACTCCTGGCAGCATGTTTGAAGGAGTTATCAAGCCCTGTAGCGCACCTGAGGCGTGCAGTAATGGCCCAGGAACGCAATGACTGCCGTGCCTTATTGCTTACAGCTTCCATAGGAGGCACGCTGCACACAGGAATCTCCATGCTCATCATGGGCTAGCAGCTTCTTTACCATCTGCAGCCTTGCTACAGATAAAATTTTAAGTGTATTAGTTTAATGTTTTGTTTTGTTTTTTTTTTTAATGGTAACTTTCAACCCAGTATATGATAACTGAGATGAAACCTCCAAATTTTGGGATGTGGCCCACTCTGCAGACTTCTGTCTTGGACATTACCAGGGTAGAGGGACATAGCAATTGATCAGACAAGAGTTCTGCCAGTGCTTTGATGTGGGTGAGGGATGTGCTGGGTAGAAAAAGAATTTTTACTACCACTGGCAAAAGTTCTTGGATAGCCATACTACACCAGAAAAAAAAAAGCTGCTTCTGCTATTACGTTTTTTTTTTTTTTTTTAAGACTAGAAACCTGGTGTCAGCTAGGCCAAAATGCTGTCCTTTTTATTTGATAGTGTAACACGTGTATTTATTTCTTTTTAATATTGATGTCACCAGGCTTAGCTGGACTCTTTGGGAAACTGCTGGTCTGTAAGACTGAGAGTCAGGTATCATAGGAGTGCACAATTAAAGGCAACTGCAGCAATTCTCATGAATGAAAAACCCAGTGACTTTTCTCTAAAATAGTAGTACTTCTTGGGGCGGAGGCAGGGGGTGGAATAAGTTAAAACAATTTTTTTTAAACAAATCTGCTGACTAAATTTAAATTAATTGTAAATCCCAGCTCAACTGAGCGCTCAGTATCTCTTTAGCATATGCCAACAGAGTAATATTGATGCCTCTGTCTTCCTCTCTAACTAATCCTTTCTGAAGGCTTGGCCATACGTGACATTTAAGTGGATAGGAGCAGTTGCTAATGTTGATGGATACAGCTCAAGATGGGAGGTAATTTTTCCTTGCTGTGGTGGTGTAGGTGTTCCTGGTGAGAGCTGACACAGGCAGGTGTCACTGAAATCGAGGATCTTGTACAGAGCTGGAAGTTAAGGAAAAGTGTCAGCTCCATAAGTGCTCGGTGGGGTTTCTCAGACCTGTGGCTGAGTATGAGCATATAATTGATTTTTTTCAGTTCACTGGACAAACTGGAGGAGGGGAAAAATAAATTCAATTTTGGTTTTTCAAGGCTTTTTCTTAAGTGAATGGCTTGTGTAAAGACAGATTTTTTTTGGTGAAAATGCTTCAGAAGATGTGTGGGTAACTTTGATACTTAGGGTAACCTGACTATACCTTTTGATAAAATGTTTGACTGGAAAAGGAAAAGAAACAAAAACCCCCAAACCCAACCATCCCCTCAGTTCTGTCTGTAACCTGGTACCTTCACACTGGCAGCCCCACTGAAGGCTTTGCTCTCCTTCCTCTGGCAGAAGAGGGGGTTTGCTGGTATCTTCACTCATTTCCTAGATTTCCCCTCCCCAGCCATGCTTCCAAGGGACAAGAGGCAGCATTGCCTCTGCGGGAAGATGGGAAGTAGCATAAGTTACACTGGAAAACTGAGAAGGCTTGGTGTGCACATTAAATCTTGTTTTCACCCACAGCCTTGTATGTTATTGACTGGCATGAATTTTGCCTCAGTAACACACATCTATCTGCCAGCCCTTCCCTCTGTCCTGCTGGTCCCTCACCCCTCAAAAGTGATGCTTCAGCTCTGCTCTGCCCCTCAGCTCAGGGCATCTTTCTGCTCTCATAATTCTGCCCAGCTTTTGGGCTGTGCTGTGTAATTCAGAGTCCTCCAGTGCCCAGATGAAAAATAGTTGAGTTTCTTTGCTCCTTGATCTCTGAGAGAGCCCCTCCATGGTTTGGGGGTTGTGGGGGAGTGCATGTGGGCTGCGGGGGGACGTCTCTTTGCATGAAGAATGAAATCATCAGGTGAACTTAACGAAAGTGCAACCTCCTCGAGCTGATCTGCTCCCTCCCACCAGCACTTTGCCCTGCTGCTGGCCTTACCTTCTACTCCTTCTGCTCCTTCCCTCCTTTTTGTGGCGTCCATTGAGAGAGAAATGTTGCTGTGAAAAAAGCACTGAAGGCAGTGCCAAGTGGTGCAGTGTTGCTTTTCCAGGTCAGACAGGAGATTTGACATTTGCCTGGGCAGCGGCTGAAGCCAGGAAATCTCATTAAAAGAAGGAGAATTATCAAGTTCTGTGGATTTAGCAGAGGGTTTATTTGTTGTTTTTAACTTGGTGTTGATGCTGTAGGCAGAAATCCGTGTGGCTGAGTGTATAGAAGGGTGTTGTGCCTGCTGGAAGGCCTGGCAGCTCCCTCTCTGTACAGGGCTCAGGATGAAGGACGTGCCAGCGGCAGCTCCCGGCCCTTCCCTCTGCCCACCGTGGGCCTGGCACAGCCAGTGCCTGGCACAGCCTGGGCTTTGCTGAAGGTGCAAAGCAGCTGAGCCCTTGGGCACTCGCTGCTCTGTGCTTGGCTGCTGGCTGTGCCCAGGTCTCTCCCGTGGTGCTGCAGTGATAATCCATCGCTGCAGCAGGACAAGACACCTTTGGCCCTGCCACGGCTCGGGGTTTGCTCTCTGCCACAGAGCCCTGCTGAAGCAATAAGCTGTTTTCTGTACTCCACAGCACTTCGACCTTGTTAATCACTCTGGGCTTAAATAATTATCTACTGCAAATGTTTATATAAGGAGAAAATAATGCCTCAAGCCTTGCAGTTTTTGTTGTACTTTTTTCTCCCCTCTTCTCTCTGTGGTGCCTTGTGCATAAATTTTGAAGTCTTGGAGTTTATAACCTGCCCCAGCTGTAATTCTCAAAGCAGTGTGTTCTTGGTACTCTGCCCTGCCCTCGGTGCTGCAGAGAGAGCAGTGAACTTAGCTGAGGCACTGATTTCCTCCCTCTCCCTTCAGTCCCTTGCTTATCTACTCAGTGTCAGGGCTCTGACTCTTTCTCTCTCTCTCCCTTTCTCTTTCTCTCTTTCCCTCCATCTCTTGCAGTATGCAGTACTGGGCCAGGAGGCTGGAGCAGGAGATTGATGGAGTGATGAGGATATTTGGTGGAGTCCAGCAGCTGAGAAAGGTAAGCTGTCTTTCTTTTACCTGTGCTGCCTTTCTTGTGGCAATGAATGTTCTCACCTGCAGAAATCACCTATGTGAACACTTGCACTTCGTCACCCTCTCAGCTCACTCCATGGGCAGGGCCATGGCTGGCTGTGCTTCTGGTTCCTGGGCAATCAGATGCATTTATCAAGTGTGTGGGAGTGAGTGTGGTCTGTATCTGTCTGTTTCTGGGGCTGCATGTCACTGCTATCTGAGCTTGTACCTCTCAGGTTTTTCCTACATGACACACTAAAAAGTAATAAATTCAACAAACCTTTCCTCTAGGGACTGAAGGTTGTGTTTTAAATTTAAACTTGTGTTGGCAAAGCAGGAAACGTTGAAAGGATAATTTTGCTAGCCATTGGAAGCTCCTTGTTTTTAAATATACTTTGCAGGTAAAACTGTAGTTGTTGTTTGGCTACTGTTTCCAAGTGCCAGAAAACAAAATTCAGTTACTGATGCTGGCATCTGCCTCCTGCTCCCTGAGTTAGCAGCAGGATGCAGAGGCTGCAGAGGCCAGACCTGCTCTTCTCCTGGCAGCAGTGCTCTGGGTTGGGTTAGGGCAGTTACAGAACAGCTTCATCGGGGTTTATTAGGTTTGGGAGCAAACAGCCTTTGTAGCCTTCCCCATTTCCCTTTCCCCATAAAGCCCTGTTTCCCCTTGCCCACACTCTTGTGCTGACTAGCTGATTTGAAATTGAGCAATTTGGAATAACAGTTATGGTGTTAATCTAAAGAAAATAGGCTTCTCTAGAGTGATAAATATGTTACCCCAGAAAAAAAGCATGGGTGTATTTGTGTTTTCTGGTGACAGTGACATGTTCTTCTCAGACGCCAATACTTTTATGGGACTCCTACTGTCTGTCTTGCACTAGTAGCTGTATTGGCTTAAACAGAACTGCTGATATTTTATACTGTTGGTTGTAATCCATTGTCTAAACACAGAAGTCACACCATTTTCTTTTAAATGCATTTTGAAATGAGTTTACCTGAAGGCTTGAAAAACTCTTCATGGTTCATCCATTCATTTGTGTTCATATTTGAGCTCTAGAATGGTGTATTTGGGCTTTGTGTGCATTCATTTCAACTGAACTTCGGGTGGATTGATATAAATTTCATGTGCAGCATGAAAAGCATATACACCCACCTGGGTTTCAACAGACATTTTTGAATGTAGCCATGCATTTGTGCAATGCAGTTTTGCATGTTGGCAGGGTCTTAGAGCTGGGGATGTTTTCCAGGCAATACAATGGTGCAGCAGCCAGCATTCTCTTCAGTAGAGCACAATCATAAAAAACAAAAGGATTGCTACTACATTTTTGTACATGTTCTCTCTTACAATTTATTCTTATTAGCTTTGATTTTACTCCCTTGCATGTTAAATAGGTGTATAATGTAATTTTTTTAATGCCATAATTAAAGAGAAATTACACCTCCAATTTGCCAGCACTTGACTCCTATTGGCCAGTCAGTCAATTACAGGTAAGAGAGCTTCCCACTTTTCCTGTTTAATTCTTCTGGTAGATCATAATGCAGTACTTCAATGGATTAATACTGGATACACTGACTACAGAGGGATTGAAAGGGCTTTTTTGAAATCTGTTTTGGAATCTTCTTGTGAAGGGAGGAAGCTAATTATTGTATCTAGTAAATGCACAAACCAGCTGAAGCCAAGAAATGAGCTACTGAAAATTCCACTCTGCAGCTGTTTGAACACCAGAAAGGCCTGGTGGAGGCTGTCTGCTGATCTCTAGGGGAGAACTTGGGATGTGGAGTTCAGGTTTGATTCGTAGATGCAATGTCTAGTGTATGATACTTAAGAACCACCTCACTTGCTAGTGCACACTAGCACAGCTTCACTGATGGAAAATGGCATGGAGTGCTTCACCCTGAAGAACTCAGAGCTGCACCTGCAGGGAGTTCTTACCCACCAGCTGCACACAGGTTCATTGGGGTTACAGTATGGAGCTGTCTAATGTCATAATGTGGCACTGTAACCTACCTGGAGACATGGATTTAAAAAGTTAAATTTTAAAAAAGTCCACATTCTCCTGCAACCACACTCAAAATTTAGAAGGTGAGCAGGCAGAGGGGGAAGGAAGAGCCCCTGAGGAGCTGTGGGAGCTGAAACATGGTATAGCTAGAAGCTAATTCCACCCGTAGGGATTTCACAGGAAGGTTCGTCATTAAGCAAGAGTAGACCCATGCAGGGCAGGAAAAATAATGAGGCAAGTAGAGCCTGTTTTTTGGTAAAAGTTGCTGATACTCTTTGGGCTTGCTGTGTTGGCCTGGGACATGTCTGCAGAGGGGACTTCTGGTTCATTGTGCATAGTGATATTAAAAAAGTGCTCCAGTGGGGGGGAACAGTGCTCCAGTGTCCATAAAGGCAGAACTGGTCCTTCTGAACTTGGTGGGGTCTGTTGTGAAGTGGTGGGTTCCACTGCCAGCTCTCATGGGACTATGAAGCTGTAAGCACTGGAGGTGGGTCCATGCCAGAAATAGATCCTCCCTTTCCAGGCCTGACTACCAAAGTGACAGACCAAATAATAAAAAAATACCCTCCTCTGAGATTTGCCAGGTTTACTTACAAATCCTTCTTTCTTGGGTTGTTGTGAAAGGATGAAGATCTGTTCTTTGGTTATTGCCTGAAATCATAACTGTTATGGAATATGAGGCATGAAATTTATTGTCAGAAATATGGTGTCCAGGAACATAACGGTGCTGAATATTTTATCTTCCTGGAACGCTGCCCATCCCAGAAAGATCTTTTTTTTTTAACTCTTCAGTAATTTCCTTGAGTTGGGGTACTAAATGTTCAATGCCTCTGCTTCCCTCCTGTCCTGCCAGGTGGACAGGCAATCCCTTGAGGAGGTTTTCCAAGCTTGTACCATGCAGATGCTCCTTTGCACAAGGGGATCATTTTTCTAGAGCAATTACAGGAGGGTGAGAAGCTCTGAGATGTAAAGGGGAGTCATGCCAAGGGCTCTTCTTTCAGCTGTGAGGTATCACCTCGCTTCTCTCCTGATGTCCAGACCTTGAAAACACTGAAGTGCAGATGTCCCCATTAGACAGACAGACTGGCTGTGGTGGGGCACCCATATGACTGAGCACTGTGGGCTTGGAGCTGTATGGAGGATCTTGGCCCTGCTCAGATGATTCTCTGCCTGGTGAAGTCAGTGTTGAGCCCTTGGGGTGCCTGTGGTGCAGCACCCTGTTGGCTGGCTGGCTCCTCCAGGCATGCCTCAAAACAAATCCCAGCACTTGGATAAGGGCATGTTGCTTTGCCTCCCTGTCCTTGCCTCCCTCGCAGCTCAGAGATAATTGAGAGCATAAATCACTGATAATTTAGCTCTGACTGGCACCATGATATGTGGGACCCTATAATGCTGTCTGAATAGATTGACATTCTTAAAATAATTATTTCTAGAATAAGGAATATTATACTAAAAATACAACTCTCTGATTTCCACGTTTTTTTTCTGTTAGTGACTTCTTTGTGGCTACAGTGGACTCTTCACTTTGCAGAACAAAAAAATGTTTTGTTTTGACATTTCTTGCTACACCACAGTACATTTCTCTTTCTCCTAGTTTTGGCACAAGTAAAAGTTACTGACTTTAGTCAAAAATGAATTCATATTTTGTCTTCCAGCCTAGGTGCTGCAAAACCTGCTCCAGGGTAGACTATACTCCAGAGATTTCCCATGCTGGTGCAGCCCTGTCGCAGCCTCCCAGTGTCCTGCTGTGCTGGTACTTGTGGCAGGACAGATGACAGCAGAGCTGTGTGTGCTGTTGGGTTTTGTGCCTCACTGAGCAGCTCCCCTGGATGCTGTGTTAAAACTCCTTTTCTGGATAGCTGGGCTGAGGCTCAAATCTGCCCTGGCTTGTTACCTAAATTGTGTTTGATCCTGTGTCTCCTGAGTGAGCAGCGAGCTGGTCAGAACATCCCTTCCCCCTCCTCTGGTACCTGGTATCCCTGGCTGCCTCCAATGGCTTTGTTTCCTCGCTGGCAGTCACTGAGGGAGCCAAAGCCTTTCAAATGAGAGGGGGAAGAGCTGAGAGATGTAAATGCTGAGCTCCCTTTCCTGCTCTGTCTTCCTTTCTCTCTTCTCTCTGGTTGTCTTTCCTGAGGACTGCTTCCATAGCAGGATAGTTCTCTCTCCTGGAGGTGCTGTATCCTGACACAGACAGGCTCCAGCAGGGACAGGGTGGGCAGCAGAGCTGGACCTGAGCTGCACCTGCTCCTCCTCTCCAGCCTGTCAAGCTGGTTTTGTACCCTCTTCCCTTTCCTCTGGGCAGCCAAGGAAGTCAAGGTCTGGGTCTGCCTTGCTGGTGTATGACTGGGAGATAAGGGTTCTGCTGGCCTTGGTGATGAGGAACCAGTCAGTAAAGGGTGAGATGGCCCCAAATCTCAGCCAAGGATGGGATGTGGGGAGCAGCCTGGCTGAGCTGGACAGGCAGGGAGCCTCTGCCTGAGCTGGGCTTGGTCCTCAGCATGTGTGACTGCAGAGAAAGGAGAACAGGCACACGGGAAAGGGAGACTCGTGCTGCGCCCTTTGGGATGCAGCCCACAAGGAGTTTGCTGATTGTGGCACAGCAGAAGTGGCTCAGCTTGGTCCTTGTAATCAATATCTGGTTTTACTTCAGTGGATTTTCATGTCTGTCTTCTATTCTTGCTTGTTATCTTCTACTTTGTTTTGCTAGTTTGGCATCTCTGCATGGCAGAAGTGCTGCTGTTCATTCCTCTGGGTTTTTCTGACAGGGAAGGGCCCTGCTGGCCAGGGCTTGGGGCAGAGTGACCAGGATGTGTGCAGGTGTCCCCACCTTTGTCTGCCTCATCCTGCCTGTCCCTTCTGCTTAGTGCTGATACATCCCCTCTTGTTTTTAAAGCATGGCCATGCTTTAGTTCAGGCAGCTGCAGGTGAGGAACTGTGATTGAGCCGTGCACAAACAAGAACTTAAATTAAAAAACACTAGTATACT